AGTAGTAAAAAAAAGATTTACTTAAAAGAAAACAAATGGAGAGAGGATGTGTAAAAGTGTTTTTACAACTGGTTGGGGCATATTAGTCTTTTGCCAATTGATTGTGGCATATTTTGAAAGAGAAATTTAATGGCATATTGAGAAAAAAATTTGGGAAGAAATGGCATTTCTTGTAAAATTTCTTAGTTTTTTAACGGCTATTTGTAAAAACATTGTTAGATAATGGATTTACTGCCTCTGAGGTTGTAAATAATGTATCTACATTATTATTTTGTCAACACAACTATGTTACCTCTTTTAAATCAGTAAATGGACTATTTTGCTGTTTTTGTGGTCTATTTTTGATGTTCATGATTTTTCCTTTATATACTAGAGGACTTTATTCCAAAAAACCAAATAAAGATACTAACAGTGTTCGTTCAATAATTTGGTTGTCAGAAATCCCACAATTTTCGTATTTGTCCTTCACTTGTGGGAGAGGACAATATTTTGATCTATATTTCTGTCCACACAATCTTTATACCATATTACCGAAAAGCAGAGAAATTGTATTCCATTCAACGCGCTCACACACACCTCTAGTGTTTTGTTTTCTCGAGGTCCAAAAAGTAGCCTAATCACATAATTTATTCTACATAGATATATGTGTACTTATTCAACTTGGTGGGACCACAACTGCAAAAGCTTGTCTAGATATTTTATTACTACTGTTCTTACTCACCAACTACAACACAACTTCTATTATTATAGTCGGAAACGTCTCTCTCACATAACGTCTCTCTTATTCTCTCATTTACGTTTATCACATTTCTGAAAAAGAAAACCTAATGGGACTTCACAGCTACAGTCAGCCTACCTCTTCACCTCCTTCATCAATCAATTCGGAGGACATGGCATCATACTGCAACAAGGGAATTCCTTTTGGTTGCTGGTGTGGTATGGATCTCATCATGGAGACAAACGAAATAGAGCCTAACATAGGTAGACGTTACTACCTTTGTTCGAATGCTGAGGTAAGTTTATTCACGTTGCTACTTAACTTGTAGATATATCCACAATATGTTCGAAGTTAACCTATTTATATTTCTTCAAATGTAGTTCGCAGGGTGGTCGTGGCCACCATTTGTTCAAGTGGATGGATGAGGCTATTCTTGAAGAGTTAGACTCTATCAGGTACAAAAGATGTCAACTTGTAGATGATCCCACATACTACGAGATTCTTGGCGAGATTGACGACTTGAAAGAACATGTGAAAAACATCAATGAAACTTCCGACTCCTTCGCTTGCAAATGCAATCATCTTAACCTCCGCCATGCTTTAATCGTTGGTGCTACAGCTATCTCTGCTTCACATTTCGTCTGTTTGTTTACCATTTTTATGTACTTTTGATCAACACGTCCTCTAAGAGTTGTAGTAACTTCTGTGCTAAGTTCCCTACTTTATTTCCAAAACTTTTGTCTATCTCGTTTGTTATTGTAAGCTATATGGTCCACAACTAGTCGGAACTCGTAATATTATTGTAGTTTCTCCTTTCTAGTCTATATTTGCAAAATATTCAAAGCTTTATATGTTTGGTACGATTTTATCTTCTCAAAATATCTGAAAGAATTGTTTCAAACCGTTATATGTTCCCTACTTTACATTTACGGTCGTGTTGGTCAGATATTGTCCCCC